TCGTGTTTCCTTTTTTCTTCCTTTCTTTTCCTTCCTTGTTCTTCCTTTTTCTTTCTTCCTTTTTCTTTCTTCCTTTATGTTTCTTCCTTTTGTTTTTCCTGGTTTATTCCTTTCTTTTCCTTCCTTGTTCTTTATTCCTTGTTCTTCCTTTTTCTTTCTTCCTTTCTCTTTCTTCATTTCTTTTTCTTCCTTGCCTTTTTCCTTTTTTCTTCCTTTCTTTTCCTCCCTTGTTCTTCCTTCCTTGTTCTCCCTTTTTCTTTCTTCCTTTCTCTGTCTTCCTTTTCTTCCTTTCGTTTTTCCATGTTTCTTCCTTTATTGTTCTTCCTTGTTCTTCCTTTTTCTTTCTTCCTTTCTCTTTCTTCCTTTCAGCTTCTTCCGTTCTTGTTGTTCCTTTCTTTTTCGTCCTTTCTTTTCCTTCCTTGTTCTTCCTTCCTTGTTTATTTTTATTTCTTCCTTTCTCTTTCTTCCGTTCTTTTTCTTCTTGTCTTTTTCTTCCTTTTGTTTTCTTCCTTTATGTGTCTTTCTTTCTTGTTATTCCTTTTGTTTTCTTCCTTTCTTTTTGTTCCTTTGTTTTTTATTCCTTTCTTGTTATTCCTTTCAGTTTCTCCTTTATTTTTATTCCTTTCTTTTTTGTCCTTATTTTTCTGCCTTTCTTTTTCTTCCTTTCTTTTTTGCTTTCTTTTTGCTTTCTTTTTCTTCCTGTCTTTTTCTTCCTTTCTTTTTCTCCTTTTCCTTCCTTCCTTTTCCTTCCTTCCTTCCTTCTTTCCTTCCTTTTCCTTCCGTCCGTCCATCCGTCCGTCCGTCCGTCCTTCTATCTCTCTCTCTCTCTCTCCCTCTCTGTTCATCCCACTTGAAAAGCAGAGATTCATGAGACTCAAAGAGATGTTCATCTGTCTGCCTTAGACTGGTAGCCTGACTGACATGTGTCAAACCAAAGATGATCCACCTGGTTCTTCTGTTCGTGACCGAACTTGATCCCCTGAGGTTGGTTCAACCTGTTTGAAACGATCACTCCCAGGGACTGTCCTTGGGGAACTCCCAGCGACTCAAACCCTTGCCGTGGCTCGATGTACAGCCGGAACCTCCCCGAGCCGGTCGCTGTTTCAGACCTTCGTCCACCCAAAGTCGGAGTTCGGGCCAGACGGGTCTGGACGCACTCACGCGGGATCCTCTCGACTGACCGATTGATCGGGTGGACCCGTGGACCAGCTCCTCTCGGCGCCGGACAGACAGGCCGATGTAGGAGAGCCACAGGATCACCAGCCTGGGAAGCGAGCACGAAGAGGACGAGACGAGCACGAAGAGGACGAGGAGCTCACGCGACCGTCGTCGTCTGGTTCGTTGGACTGAATCCGGGGACGACCAGCGGCAGCGGCGTGGTGCTGAGGAGATTTGATGTGAACCGCACTGAGATCCTTTAAACCCACCCGTTCAGAACCCCAGGTGTCATTCATGTTTTACCTCCTTCAAAAACGGTTTGGTGGGACTGCGACTGGGTGATGAAGCCAGGTCTAAAGTATCAAATACCTTCGGATGTCTCTGGTATAGGACTGGAGTCCAATTGGGAAGAAGTCAGCTCTTCGACCCTATTTGCCACCACCGACGTAAAGCCAGATCACCTGGTCAAACCGGTGTTTATACTCTCTTGGATTCCGAGAGTTCCGGGACGATGGGTCTCTTCTAGCGGCTCCCTGTTGTCTCCAGTTCACCACGCAAAGGATGGGATTCAAAAATTCCAAACGAATGGTAGGTAGTAGGAAGGGTCAATAAGCCACCCAATGGAAGCTGCTAGTTCCCAGCACCGTCATAGATTCAGAGATTCCCAATCCACAAGGACAAAGGAATGCAGGTTGCCCCACTGGTTCCTGCAGTTTGTCAGTCATCTCCAACTGAAGCTATTCTACGAACGGAGCGTTCGGACGCTACGAATCACCAAGGGCATCGCGGCATCGCTACGGAGCGTTCGGACGCTGACATCCTCTCTGAAAGAAGTGTGGCGTGACAGAACCTCTTCAGTCCACCTGGGCCGTAGGTATTCTCTTCAGTCGACGGCTCTGCAGTTTCGGTATGTTTCGGTCCGAAACTGAAGCCCGCCTTCCGATGAAGACCCTTCGAAGATGCCTTCGCTTGACCTGGTGTTTAACTGTCACTTTCAGATCCTTGGTACCACCAGCGTTGTTTGGCAAGAACCGGCCAGGACGACGTTCTGGTCCGTCCACCCCACCGTTTTTTCCGGTCCCTCCGGACACGGCTGGCTCGGTCTTCCGAAAGACTTGGCATCTGAGAGGTTGCCATGAATTCGTTGGGAGATGGGTTCCTGAACAGTTCGTCGCATGAAAACACTCAACAACAAACCATGCCAAGCGGATTCCATCTGCTTTCAGATCAACCATTGTCAAGCTCATCATCTTGTGTCATTCTCTTTCTTACACGCTCCAAAAATTATCTTGCCACCCCCCGCGAAAGAATCACTCCACTCCTTTACAAAGACTCCCCTCCACCAGGACCCCCACCCAAGTCTTGTTCTTCACGACTTCCGTCACCCCCCGTGCCCCGGAGCACCGGATGCCACTCGGAATCGCTCCCAGGTGGGTCTTTCAGGTCCGCTCCCGGTCCCCTGGGCACCCCGGGCAGGAAGGAGGAGTACGCTTTGGCGTCCACGGGGCCGCCCAGTTCGCCTCCAAACTTCCACCGTCTCAGCCTCGAGGGCAGGGGGCAGTTTGGACCAGGGCCACTGGCAGTTTGGACTGGGTAGAGAGTGGGAGGGGGCTCATAGGATTTGTTCATCTATATATTAACTATATATAGATACCTTGGGTCTATCCTATTACCAGGGCCCAGTGGATGATGATGGTTCGGTCATAGGTTAGGTTGTAGGCCTTGGTCAAAAATATTGTCTTCTTTACTCCCCACGTTATAAGTACCTAAGTACTTCTAAGTCCAAGTGTTTTGACTTAGCTGACTTAGCTGCTGCTTAGCGAACCACCCTCCAGCCAAGTAGTCTGTCCTGGATACCCATGGATGCTGGAGTCATCCTGGATCAAACGATCGAAACAGCAACAAGTGATGTGACAAAAAGACAAACATATTAATTACCATGCTTCTTCAGTTCGTGACCTTTTTGGAGTTCCGGATAGTGACCCTTGGGAGGCTTGTTGGTGACCGAAACAGCCAGGGGCTCTGCGGAAGATCACGAACGGGCCGAAGCTCGGTGCTTCAGCACCGCGCTGCAGCCGCTTCGGCGCCCCCACTGGATCACTGTGAGCACTACGCAGGCGCCACAGGTAAACACCTTCGCTGGAAGCAGCGAGGGGCGCACGGCGCACGGAAGAGGCCGCGCGGAACCCGCAGGGTTCGAGAGGGAGGTGTTTTTTCTTCACGGAGGGGATGAGATACTGGTCCTTTGGCCAGAAATGCCGCAGAAGATTAGAGGCGACTAAGTGACAGCTCCTTGCATGGGGAGGGACATTCCAGAACCAACGTTGTGATTCACTGGGCTCTGGTCATTGTGACTCTGCATTGAAGGATCTCATTTGGGCTCCTGTCCCATCTCAGGCATGAGGACCGCCCCCCCTCCAAGAGAGGTTGAAAAGCCCAGCTCATTCGCCCATCCGTACCCAGTCCATTAGGGTCTGACACTTCAGGTCTCAAGGGTCCCTCTCTTGGCATTTATCAACAGTCAACAGCATTAGAGATCAACAACTACGCCACTGGCTGACAGGCTCAACTCTCTTCTGTATATCTCCTTCTGGCCGTCATAGTGACGGCTACACTATTGGTGGCCGGAAACTTTAACATAAGTTATTATTGTAGTTAGTTTGTCCCTGTTGATGCTGTTTTGGACCTTAGACTATCGCAAGGGAAGCTGTGACACACACTTCGACACTTGTATTCAGTTAACTCAATTTTCCGAGGAAAGGAATGGCTCAACGGCAAGGTGAGGAGTCCGATCAATTGAAGGTGTTTCAACAAATAGTTTGTGCGCATCTGCAGACTCGCGACAGCAGCGGACGAGCGGCGGACGGCAGCTGAAACCGAGGGAAAAGGGTTTAGGGGAAGTAGCATGAACCACCATGGAAACAAACAAAGAAAGAGTGGAGTGACAGCTTGTACAACAGTTCGGCAGGTACGTTTGCAGCCCCCCCAGTGGCCTCTTCGTTGGCCATCCGCCACTGGGGAGGGGGATGGCCCCCTGCTGTGAAAAAGGTAGAAGTTGGCAGTGAACCCTTTGGCACAGGGGTTGACACACACAGGTCGCCGTAATCGGCGCTTTTTCTTTTCAAAAACCGGCTGCAAGCAGTTGGGTGGTGTCCTTTTGAGACGTAGAGCTGCACTAGCTCAGTGGCAGCAGCGTCAGCGCTTGAAGGTGGAAAGGTGTATGTGCTGGTGCTTGTCGACGTCCTTGAGGATGTGCTGGTGCTTGTTGACGTGCTTGAGGATGTGCTGGTGCTTGTTGACGTGCTGGAGGATGTGCTGGACTTTGTGCTTGTGCTTGTTCTGCTTGTGCTTGATGTTATCGAGAAACTGGAGGAGGTGGATGTGATGGTTGTTGTTGCGGATGTGCTCGTGCTTGTTGCCGTGCTGGAGGATGTGATGGACGTTGTGCTTGTGCTTGTTCTGCTTGTGCTTGATGTTGTGGAGAAACTGGAGGTTGTGCTTGTTCTGCTTGTGCATGT